ATCAACTCTGCCGTGCAGCACGGCAGAGCCAGAGTAAATTGTAAACAAATTGTAAGTTTGTGAGAATCAGAGTTCAAAACTCAAAAATATTTACTGGGTACATGTAAAACAAAGACCTAAAATCTAAATTCTCAAAAGTAGCTTTAATACTGTCAAATTTTCCGAAGTCTGATTTAGTTGTTTCAAAAGTATAGAATACACACACACTTCTGTATGGATTTCGTACATGTTCTACATGTCTTGCAGTAAAAATACAAAAATTGTCCCACTTCCGCTGTTTGTTGTGATTTTAATACTGTAATTTGTTCTGTTTTTCTGTAGCGATTACCGATTTATCGGCAAATACCGCGATTTGAAAACTTACTTTTCTTTATTTATTTCATTCTACAGCATTTATAGTTCTACAGCTATCTTATACAGTTCTATAATATTGTGAATGATTCCGAATATTCAAAACGAATTGAAAGAATGAAAGCAGTAATGATGTACTGTATAACGGTTTAAACTTAGCCGGCCGTACAGCTCACTGCCACCGGTCACTGAGCCGAAGGATAAACCGAAAATTCACTTTTCTCATCACAAGATTTAATGTTCAGTCGATCCGCTACATTGAAAGATTTGTATACTTGGCTATTTTTTGGCAGGGGTAACGAAATATATCGGCTGTTCTCTACAGTAAGTGTTTCTTTATGTATTGCCCATCGGAATATAATATAACTACATAAGCTTGATAGATGTAAGATAACGAGTTTCACAATCCCATTTTAAATACTATGGCTTTTGGCAGCCTGGTTTTGCATCATATGTGTTTTTCAGTAAAAGCCCCACTTTCCTACTTCCCCAACGTGTAATACGCGAAAAAACTTTGTTAATAATAACAAAAAATTGTAATAGTAAACAGTGTATTTTATTATAAAGGATTTTCGTTTTTCTACTGCTCCGTACTTCGTGTGCTCCGTGCTCCGTGTGCTCCGTACTCCGTGTGCTCCGTGCTCCGTGTGCTCCGTGCTCCGTGCTCCGTGTGCTCCGTGCTCCGTGCTCCGTGTTTTACTAATAGCCAGCAAATTAAGGTTAGCAATAACTGTACTTCCAACGGGATTTGATAATAGTTTAATATACCAATACTTTGTCTTCGTCAGCTATAAACCTTTTCCAAAGAAGTACAAGTCGATACAAGGGAAAACTTCGACGTATGCCTTGCTGATCTTTGCAGGGAAAGTAAAATAAGTCTAGTTCAGGCTAGCCTGTAAACACGACTACAATTTATCTAACCGCGTTTGCGTCACTTGCGGCAGAAAGCTTCGAGACTTTTGTGTGAACAACTTAGGAGTAAGACTTAGCCCAACGAGACGTTCGTTGAGACACCGGCAGTGAATCAGCTAGTATAAAGCAGTTGATTGTCAATGCTCCGAACATTTCTCCCAAATACTTCCCTGTCAACCCAAGGCTTTCTGCCTCAACAATCTGGTCTTGAATAAGCTAAGACAATGGGCAAATTATTAAAACAGACGCCGTCGAGGAAAGTTCTTAGAACACCTGGCCAATTTGAATTTACACCTGCAAATTTTGCAATAGTCGTTTGCGTGTTCTTTGACCGAAGTCCGCTCTCTCTTTGAGACTTTATTTTTGGGAGTCTCAACTAGTGACATATATTATTACAACAAGAGCTTTTTACAAAAAAATGTAGTTATTAAAACACGGCAGAATCGATGCCACGGGTTTTCAAATTGTCTATTGTCTATTGAGTTAATTGTATTATTGAGCAAATGACAGACTTCACGCAATGTTGTTTTTTATCCTGCTATTGTTCGACACTTTTAACAAATAGTGTTTGTTCAAAACCTAAATACGTTTCCTTAAATCTTAAATCTTACAGTTATATTTTGGATATAAATGTATAAAATACATTAACTGATAGAGAATAAAATTTTACGTGTAATAGTAGCATAATTTAAAACGGCAATGTACGAACAAGACATTAATATACAAACGGGACTATGTTTTAAATATTAGAACATTTTTAGGAAAAAAACGACCATGCATTATTTTAGATTAAAGTTAAGACCTTGCAATACTATTAAATGAAAGATACAGGTAAACTTGCGCGAGAAACTGTTTGTTGTTGTTAATAACCTCTGGTAATCTAATTAACAAAACTTACTTTGATTGGCTACTATTTACCGGATATTCAATTATCTCAAAGGGGGCGTATTGAAAAAATATCAATAAAAGTCGCAGGCTCTATATATAGAGCCTGTGAGCAGGCTATATAGAGCCTGTGAGCAGGCTAGGAACGACGAGAGCAGGAAGAACGCTAGGAACGGCAAGAACCCTAGGGGCGGCAAGAACGCTAGGAACGGCAAGAACGCTAGGGACGGCAAGAACGCTAGGGACGGCAAGAACGCTAGGGACGGCAAGAACAGGGAGAACGCTAGGGACAGCAAGAACGCTAGGAACAGCAAGAACAGTAAGAACGCTAGAAACGACGAGAACAGGAAGAACGGTAGGGACGGCAAGAACGCTAGGAACAGCAAGAACGCTAGGAACGACAAGAACAGGAAGAATGCTAGGGACGGCAAGAACGCTAGGAACAGCAAGAACGCTAGGAACGACAAGAACAGGAAGAACGCTAGGGACGGCAAGAACGCTAGGAACAGCAAGAACGCTAGGAACGACGAGAATAGGAAGAACGGTAGGGACGGCAAGAACGGTAGGGACGGCAAGAACGCTACGAACGACAAGAACAACAAGAACGCTACTGCAAGAACGCTAGGAACAGCAAGAACGCTAGAAACAGCATGAACGCTAGGGCCTGCAAGGGAAACGAAACATATTGCACAACATAACATGTAGAGCGAATAATTATGACGTCATTTGGGGACTTTTATATCAAACTTCAGCCGAAGGTCTGTCCGCCAGGGTTGCTGACTCTTTTCTTGTGATCAGTGCGATCTTTGCCAAAAGGGTCATGCGTTGGGTAGGCATAACATGTGCATCCATTAAAGAAATAGAACAATGAGGGACCACTAAAGTATGGTCCACAAGGGAGCCAGTGAATTCTTTTTCGTGCCACTACAAGCTGTTGCCACGTTCTTTATATTCTGACAACCAGTGTTATAGTAGTTGTCAGAATATAAAAAACGTATCTCCACTTCCCCTTCTGACCAGATTTCCTCCATTTGGTTGACAAACAATCCAATCATTGAGGTTTCATTTGATCATGAACTCAATGTGCTTCCAAAGATTCCAGTCTACTGCTCCAAGAGCGGACTCACTGAGTGGAGGAGTGTTTGAGATTGGGATATTGGCGTGACTGTCAGGGTAGTTTGGACCTCGGTTTGGACGGGGGGTTACGGCATCGGTTCCTGAATCAGAACTGTTGTAATTTGTGAAGCCAAAGGTGTAGCTGTAAATTTGTAAAGATGTAGCTAATAAATCACCACCCATATTGAATGAAGACATTAATTTTAAATCTGATGATTTTGCTGTTGGAACTGAGGTAAACTAGACGCTCTATAAGAGCGTTAACTCGCTGGGGCTATACAGATACGCAGATATACGATTATCTCCAGGTTTTATAGCGTTGTTACTCTATTCAAGGCATGCCTCCTGCTATTTAAGCTGAATTCCTTGAAATTCAGCATACAACTGTGACTTTCTATAAATAATAAATGCTAACTTTTTATTGTATTTCTGGTTAATAAGGCAGGACTGTTAGAAATGTAAGGTAAGGGCCAAAGCCAAAGTGTACCAAAGGCATGTCCTCAACATTTTCCAAAATCAATGAGCACAGTCATTAACCTGTCCAAGTTTACTTCTCACTTAAAAGCGGAGGTAAGATCTTCCAGTAAGGGCAGTGTGGTTCGCTGGAATCCCGAGATATTTCCCGGTGGTACAAGAATTGATCATAATTAAGGAGCAGTTGCAAACTGATGATTAAGTAGAACCTTGAAGAATTATTTTACTGGCTTATCCTAATGTGTGAATAATAAACGATTTTCGATTTAGTTTCATAGTAAAACAGCACAATGGCTGTTTTATATGCTATAGATCTCTTGTGACGTTAAGTACTTATTAATATTTCATGTTACTTGGTTCGTCGATAAGGTTATATCGATCAACGGGGGGAGTGTGAGAGAGTTGAAGGTAGAACGTTAATATGTAGGACAAATATAGCGACTAGAGCAGGAAGTTGACAATTCAAGATGGCGAACTGTTAATACAAATATTATTGTTTTGTACGTGTTTTATGCTGTTATTGTTAAATTAATAGGAACAAACTCATTTCCCGCGAAGTCGAGCTTTATACTCGTACACCAACCAAACATAATGAACCTGTATGTAATATAATGATTACAAAAAATACCATGAGGTTAAAATGCTTAATATGAACCTTCTTCCTCTAACCCAATTACGTATAAGGTGAGTTCACGTCTTTTATAACCGTATAGTTAAATTGTGCGTTTCACGCATTCTTGTAGACGTTCATTACCAGATCTAACGTTGTAGAAAATTACAAGTAACCAGTGCGCGCCGCCAAGAGTGGGGGTGGGGGGGGGGGCGGTCGCCAACCTCCACTCAACATTCTCAGAGTGTAGTTCCAGATTCGTTCAGTTCCGATGAAAATTGGGGAGGAGGTGGAAATTTATCAGCAGACAGTTTTGGCGTATTATTTGTTCCAATATGAAGCTCTACGTCTCCCACTTGAATTAACTTTATATGTTTCCCACTGAATTAACTTGTCAAGTATTCTGAAATCAATATTTAACACAGTAAAAAGCCGACTAATTAAGACCTTTACATTTTTCTTCAGGTGGCTTCTTCACGTTTTCTTCAGGAAATGCCGTTTCCGAGACCCAAAATTCAATTCGTTACCGGGGGAGCACGCCCAAGGCACCTCTAGAGTTGTGACTCACAAATTAATAAGTTGCTCCCCCCCCCCCCAAATAAAGTCCTGGCAGCGCCACCGTGGGTAACGTTAAACAGCACTCTTTTACAAACCCATGCAATCTCACAGTGTTAACACAACCATGCCCGTTCAAACGGACGCACCAATATTGGCCCAATATGATGCAACGATGTTGAAATATTTGGTATTTATCCAAACGGAAAATCTTTGCTTTAACTTTTTTGGATGGTGTGGGGCCAACAATGCATTCCGTTTGTTTCGTCCATAAATAAAATGGTTCAAATGAAAAACTTGTTAGTAAGAGTTGAGTCAATTTCTCCTTTCGGTTTTGTCCATGCCTGCCGAGCTGTCCATCTTCTCTTCCATCACCTAAATTGCAACAAAAATTAATCTTGATATGAGATAAAATCGTACGCATGATATATAGAAAAATCGCGTTATGGTTAGCAACAGCGAAACACGTTTTTATACACTCCTTCACTTTGGCGTTGAATAGAGTTAATGGATGTCCATTAGCGATAGCGGAAGGTCACTTCCCTTGTGGTCACTAGAGCATTATGGTCACATTTCACCCATGTGGATGCGAAGATGTCATCGTGTTGTACCACATGCGCTTTGTGAGAACAAGCTCGTGTCTACGAGGCGTTGGACGCTGAAACATGCATTTCTACAGATGCGGGAATAATTACATATATCACGGGAATAGATGTGTAGTATACAGGGTTTCCACGCTTCAGTGAAAATCCAGAATTCCTGCAGGACATTCAAGGACTTTTTCTCAAGGGTGGGTTGACAACAAAACTTTTATTAATGTAGTCATGCAGCTACAACCACTGCTACTTGTCAAAAAGTGTAGCCCGCTACTGACTACAGCTGCAGTTTCAAAAATGTAGCGAACTATTCGCTACAACAAAGTATCTTGCTATCCACATTTGTAATTTACATTGATATTACATATTATATTATATATGGCAAGAAAAGTAATAAACTTAACTGTAAGCAGGCTAAAAACGCGTATAAACGTACCAGAAAAGCTAAACAAAGTCGAGTGATGAGAAATTTGAAAATTAGTAGCGAATAGCGATTATATTGTATGAGATAAAAAGCCATGTAATACTTTTGACTTGGGATTATAAAAAGTGCAACCAATCACCGAATGCAGTTTTATTTAACATAATATGAGAAGTACAAAATCTCCACGATTTAGTGTTTCCAGACCGACTGTCAGACAGAGTAAATTGCTAAGGTGACATTGGTTAGAAAAACTATAAGAGTTGAACACTTACTTTGTTTAACGGGTTCTCCACAGGATAGACAGGCATATATCCCTGCATGCGAACATTGTGTATACTGCTAGGCTCCATGTACGGAACAAAGTTAGCGAATTGTCTGGAAAGTGACTGACTGTTATATTGCTGAGGACTGCCATTCATTTGACCTTGTTTAGCCTGATGCATCGCGTGTTGTTCCGAGCCGTTGTAACCAGGCAACTTGAAAAATGCCAGTTGAGAATTTTGATGTGCGAAGTGTTGGTTGAATTGCTGGTTACCTTGCTGGAGCTAATGGATGAAATATAAATCAGAAATGAATAATACAATCGAAGGTACCAATCATTCTCCTCCTTCCTTAAAATGCACTGATCTATAAACTAGACCTGGATCGAACTGGATCGAATATCCTTTTGAACTCACAGTATTTATGAGAAAACATTTTCAAATATTTGAACGTCTTTACATATCAAATTTTTCACTGTGACCTGCTGTACGGATGCGATCTTATACTGTTGCTGCAATGTGACAATAAAAGGTGGACCAAATATGAAATGTAAAAGGCAAATTCCATTGCAGGCAAAACAATCAGAAAGGCATATGTAATACACGCTTCAGGAAAGTACGTAACCATGGTTATAAGACGTCGTCTTCGTGATTGATAGCTTTAAGTAATCTCGCATACGCGAAAACGAGGCTCTGTACATAAAGTGACGTCTTTTTTGGAAAGGTTTATTCATGTTTATTTTACAACCATTTACTTACAACAGTCCGAAAACTGTGATTCAGTATGTACGACATTAATACACCTATGATCCTGGTCAAAACCATCAGCGACACTCTATTAATTATTTACTCCTTATCCTCCCTCCGCCCTCCAAAATAATGTTGGACGTATTGCAATCGCTTTAACCGTATTCTAGGAATGCAATGGAACATTAAATGGCGGACGTAAGGGAGAGGTTCCAAATTTGCGATAATATTACGAGAGTTGACGAGATATTTAGTAGTGTCGCGGATGTTTTGTCCAGGATGGTAGGTAGAAAACGTAAGATCTCATAAAAATTTCGTGAAAACCCACCGGTAATAAATGAGATTGTTGAAACTTTTGTCGGTTTAGTTGTTGTTGTTTCAACTGTTGATGCTGTTGTTGCATAATTTTCTGATGTTCCTGTTGCAACAACTGTTCTTGCGATTTCATTTTCTTCCCGCCGCCACCTTGCGGAGATTTTCGACTTTTTGGTGACTGTCGGTTCGGTGGACGTTCTCCTGCGATGCTAGATAGCGAGACAGTTGCCAATTTTCCTTCGGCTGTAGTTTTGTTTCCTCGTGGTGGACTTGATGCTGCCTCACGTAATCGTTCGTCGATGTTCGGTGGTGTATCTACTTTGATAGGACTTTTCTTGTCGAGTATCTGTTGTGAACTTTCCTTTACCGTTTGCGGAAGATCTGAATGTGTTCGTTGTCGTTGCTGTTGTTGTTCTTTCTTCGTCGTTAACTGTTCTTTAGTTTGTGATTGAATTTTCAGATCTTGTTGTTTTGCTGTTTGTTCCTGTCCATCTTTTGGCAACGCATCCACCTCGGACGGGCCATTCTCTGGAGATTTCCCAGAAAGTGCTTGGTTATTTCTTTCCAAACTTGAATTTCTCGAACTTTCAAGAACGTTCGGCGAAGCGATTTCAGCTCTCTTTACATCTTGAGTCAAGGAGGGAGAGCTCGCCGCAGACAAATTTGATGGTTTGGATAAGCGGGAATTTACCAACAACAAATGATCACGACGTTTGACCAAATCAGTAAGCCGTGCTTCCAGTTTGACATTTTCGTGTTTCAGTTGATGAAGACAAGATAACAGCGAGGCAACTAAGGGGAAAAAAAGCAAATAATTACCCGTGCATAATAACATTAATATTCAACATTCATAACTCATCCACTCGTTCATGCATATACATCAGAAGAAAAATCAAACTAGAAATCGCAGCAAAAATTACAAGTGTAAAGTTTATTTATTTATTTATTTATTTATTTATCAGCTTTATTGGACACAATATAGCAGAAATATTTGCGCAACCCCTAAACTAGTATTACACTTGTCTAGTAATAGAACCCCCCCCCCCAAAAAAAAAACCCCAAAAAACCCAAACAAACAAACAAACAAACAAACAAACAACCAACCTAATTTACTATACAAAAATATATAACATAACATGCAGATTAAGAACGGTGGCAGGGGCAGTCTCTTGTGAGCGACCAAGTGCATGCCTTATCAACATTAAAAGTACTGTTGACCAACGCGGTGTATGTCACATGCAGAAAGCTTTTAATAAGAATAGTTAAGCTGGCGAACTTTTCAGGAGAGGCTATTTAGTTTGCACATTTTATTGTTTTTATAAAAGTGCGGAAGTGAATATTTGAATAAGCGGCAGGCAAACAATGTCTCTTCAAATTAGGCAATCGGTCCGAAGGACGGGTGCAATTTGCAGTCTTTGAAAAACTCACTTTACTGTGTATGCTTTTCCAAATTGCACAAGAAACCATGCTGCTATTACTTATTAATGATATACATGAAAAAATTACGCAGAAGCATATTCACATGCAGCCACTTGCGTGCGTGCATGATGCACACGCGAAAGTACTCATTCGTTTGAATAACACAACAACTGTAATAATGCAAGTTTAGAAGTGTTAAAAATCAAAACTTATAAACATATTTGTTTGAGCGCTTGCGAGGTGTTACTTTATTGCATTGAATTACTATCGAGTATTTTTTTTCTTTATATTATTAGCTTTAAGATGGATATTCGATGCTATATTTTGAATTCAATCTTATTTAGCAATATCAATAATCTACTGAAGAAACAGCTATATATAAAGCCTTGTTCAAAGTTTTTTGCATAGGTAAATTCTACGTTTAGAAGGATTTGTAAGAAATGTTTGAGCAAACTGAGTGTTAAACACTGAGTCAGCCCCCCCCCCCCCCTTTTAGTTTGGGGGTGGAAAGTTTATATGAAAATGAATAAAATGACGATGAAGATTTATAATGAAGATGAACAGGATGTATACAAACAACTGATTAACTAGAATTAAACTTCAGAATGCATGCGAAATTATTAACAAATTTAATACTGTTTTCAACTGTGTTGACATGAAATATTAAAATTATGGAAAAGCATTTTCATTAAGAAAAAAATCTATTAGTATTGACTTTCCACGGACACTATAGCCACAAATTTTAAAAAACATTAAAGTGTTTTAATACTCATTTGTTTAGCGGATGAGATATATAAAAAAGTTGGGTCTGACAATCGTACGAATATTTGTCTGGGGTGGACCCTCAGACCCCCTCCCTTAGAATTTCGCACTTTTCCAGTGCCCCATCTACAAGTACATTATTTTTTCCTTGATGCCCCCAGTGACAAATTCTTAAAAGACGTCCTTGGATAGTGAACTGATGTTTCCTTACGGTGAAAATATTGACTAACTTGAGCATCGTGCGATCTTGGTTTCATTAATATGAACTACGTTTTAATTTCTGGCGTTCTGACGTGTTTGTTTTCGAGAAATTAATTTCTGTTAATAGATCAACATGTTTGTACCGTATGATATGAACAAAGCAAATAAAATGGCAAAATCCCTCCTCTTTAATAATAAATATTTAAAACATCCAAGGTGAAAAACGTCATTTCAAAGATGTCGGATATGAATATCACTAGCTCCACCAAGAAATTATGGCAAAATTGCCCACTTCACAATGGTGACTATGTTATGGTTCTTAGTTTCCCATCCCAAACGTATTACATAAGCTATGTTATTGGCTCGATATGTAATATTCTCCTGATTATATTGGCAGTAACTCTGAATGTAGCGACAATCCTTGCTTACTGGAGATCTGCGCAACTTCGAAACAAGACTTCGTATTTTCTAATAATGTTGTTATCTGTAATTGATTTTACTGCAGCAGCTATCGGCCATCCCTTCTTCGTCCTAAGCTTGGCTTTCACAATAAACGGGAATCCAAATTGCACAATTAATATTTTACACGAGATACTGACGTTTTCTACAGTTACTATGTCATTTGCAACTTTATTTGCGTTAAACATCGAGCGATATCTGAGTATTGTCCACCCGTTTTTCCATCGGACTAAAATGACAAGCTACGATTACTGAGTCTAGCAGCATATTTCTGGTTGGTAGGTTGTGTAGTGACGCTTTCTTATGCAATTCTTGGACAAGTTGCACGGCCGATAACAAGTGTTGTAATATCGTTGGCCATACTAATTACTGTGTATATATACATCTCCATATGCCGTGCAGCCCGAAGGACAGCGGGTAACTCACCACATGCAAATGGGAATGAACTAAAAAAGTTGCAAAATCTAAGAATGGCGAAGTCCTGCGCAATAGTAGTTGCTTGTACGGTAATATGTTTTCTACCTTTTGCAGTAACGCGTTGTCTAGAGCGAAGTATTTTTGTGACTATGTTTATGGAGGTATGGAGTAAGACGTTCGCTCTAATATCCTCTTCATTAAATTCAATTGTGTTCTTTTGGCGAAATCCAATCTTACGGAAGGAGGCTAAAGCAGTCTTAAAAAATCGCACCAAGAGTTAGTCAGTCATAAGAGACGCGAGGCTAATGTGGTCTTCCAAAAATCCTAGTATACGTGTTAATAACCAATCTAAGGAACAAGTCTTTCAAAAACCTTACTATAGTCATACTGCTGAAAAACTAGAAAAGAAAATTGTCATCGTTAATTCGCTGCAAATCTCCGTTCGTATTTTATAGCCGTTGGGTGGTACGAGTTCGTAAATACAAAAATACAGTATTGAATTCTGAGTTTTCGATCTTATAAATCGAAGATCCAAAAGGCAAGGTACGAGTGGGACTCTCAAAGAAGGACCCATGTAAGGACTCTTGACGAAGGACCGATTATATTTTGTGTACTTAAATGTTACACATATTAGTATAGACTCATGTATATTAAAAATTCTTAAATGGAAGAATCAATTAAGAAAGTATATATGATAGGACGTGTAGAGTGATAGAGTAAGTAAGTAAGCAAGACATGCATGCGGAAAGACAAATAAAACAGACATAGACATACAAGCAGGCAGCTATGTCCTGTGGCAAAGACAGCCGCGTGCTAAGGACCACGTACAATTCGTATAGTTCAATTGCAATTTGGGCCCAGTACAGAATGCGTCATTTATCCAAATGATGCGCAGTCGAAACTGCGAATTGGCAGAACTTGTGGGTAAAAATACAAAAATGCTACGTTTGGGCGCAGGGAATTTGCCTAAAAGAGAAATGAAATGAAATTGTAAGAAACATGGCCGATGTAGAAAGTATAGAGAAGAAACGTTTGCGAGATAAGGAAATATTCCTTTGAGAAGAGCAATGGGAAAAGAAAGCAATTACAGAAGATGTAAACGACGACATATTAACATCATTCATCAACAGATCAACAAGAGCATGGAACATTCTTCTTGGTAAGGGACCAGTATTTATGGCGGGGGTGGTATAGCAGAGAAAAGAGTTGAGTAAACAACATTTTGAGTGAGTAAAAGGTTGGGTAAATGGAAAACAAGAACTCAAGGGTTGGGTAATAAAAATCCATTGTCATGACTAAAAATCAATGTCAACAGTCATATGTCAATACAATATGTAAATCAATCAATCAGAGTCACTATCTTGGCCATTTTCATATGCGTCAGGAGGCAAATGGTCGCTCCAAAGAATACATGTGCAGACGACATAAAACTTTAGACTGCAGACTATTGCACAAGCAGTTATCAAACTCATGTCACAGAAGTGGTAAAGGACATGTGTGATAACAGAATGGTATCCTATTGTAAAGTTTTTGGCCAGGGGTAGATATTTATATTTTAATTGTCAAAAAATTGACTTTTTAATGGTTGGATCAGCAAATTTTTGCCAAGAACAACATATCTCTTGGGCGTCACCCCCGCCATAACTAATGACCGGTCCCTAAACTGAAACAACAGTCTTTGACGCTACCTGGATTTAAAAATTGTTACTTTATCAACACTAAACCACCGGTTTAAAATGACACTATATATGAGGATCAGAAAATTCCCCGCCTCGGAAATCAAAATGTTTAAAATCTAATATACTCAATTCTCTAGCCAAATACCATGCCAAACGTCTCTTAATTGTTGTTCTTAATATAATTGGGGGGGTTGCATATTCATATACTCGTTATGCTGCCCGACGGATTTCTTTTGAAAGCGATTGTTTTTACGTATGTGAACATGAATATATGAATATACACCACTCCAATTATCGCGTCTAGCTACGGCCCTGTTTCTAGTAAATAAGCCGCCCATACATGTAAGCTTAATAGAGGATTAATATCGAGATTTGCCGCATCTCGCTCGATAGAACTAACAGTTGAAGGTTTTTTGTGGATGGAAATTTCGAGTGGAATATTACATCAGGGTTCGTGCAGGTTCCCAACAAAAAAAATTAAGGACAGTTCAAGGACGACTACTCAAGGACTAAACGTTTTCAAGGTTTTTTCAATATCTTACAAACAGAATACAATCCAAATATCAAGTAAATAATAATCGATATCAAAGTCGCTTATAGTTTACTGATTTTCCCATCACTGTGTGGCTGTCAACACACGCAGGAGAGGGAGCTCTGAAATTACTCAGTTTTTCCTAAAATTCCGCTACCAAAATCGCGTATGGTTCCTCCCGCCCAAACAAACGTGTCATATTTTTGTGTCAAGACGACCACATTCCTATAATGTCGTGAAATTGACATCAGAGAGGTTCTATAACAAACATACTTGCAGGGAGGTGAGTCCGGGATTGGATGCACCGAGGGTGGCGGGAAGTTTCCCGAACTCACCGAGCGAAGCGAGGTGA